TACGAATACATTTGAAGCACGAGGTTTAGTGGTGAGATTCAAATTCGCACTCTATCGAGGAGCTCTTTATGACCAAATTTAAAAATTTCCTCTTAAAAATTCAAATCATTCATGCAACAACTTGAAAAACATTAAGATTTTTTGAAAATTTCAATTAATTTTTGCGCAATTTCAATTTTTATTCACTTTTGAAGTCAGTAATTTAAGTGTACGAATACTTTTGACTGCCACTGTATGTATATAAAACCTTTTGTTATACTAGTATATAAAATCTTTCACTATACTAGCATTTCGGGACTAGTACATAAAATCTTTTGCTACACAAGTACTTCGGCACTAGTATGTAAAATATTTTACTCTCACCTTTTCTTAAAACCTTTTACTCTACTAGCATATAAAATCTCTTAGTACGCTAGTATTCGGCAAGAGTATATAAAATCTTTCATAATCCTAGTATTTCGGCACTAGTGTAGTAAAAAGATCAAATCTTCAAATTAAGATTTAAAATAATAAATTAAGATGATGAAAAAGTTATAAAACTGATAAAATAAGTGATTACGATAGTACATAACTAAAACCGAATTTTTTAAGAAAAATTCAAATTTTTTTATGTTTTATGAAAATTAAATTACTTTTCTAAGCTTTTCTTACTTATTATTAAGTGATGAAACTAATAAATAAAAATATTGTTATAAAGTACTCAATGAGCAAAAAAGGATTTTGTGTAGTCTTTTTTTTTTACCATAATTTCTGTTCTTTAGAAAAAACACCTTTGAATAATTTGCATTTAAAATTTCATTTTATGAAGTTAAAAAATTATGAAATTTCGTGAAGCTTTACAAAAAATTTAGGGTTTTTATAATCTTTAAAAATGTTTTTATAAGTAGCACTAAGAATTATTTAAGACATTTATATATTTTTCAAGATAATCTTATTTTTATGATAATTCTCCGGATTATCATTAAGAAGGAATCAAACCCCGTCTCCGAAAGCTCATATTTTTAACTGTAGTGCGATGTTACGATCAAACTAAAAAGAGATTTCAGTAGATGTTTATTATTCAGTAGATTATAATGATGTGGCACAAAATATTTTATTAAAAAAATATTTATATTTATCCATAATTTTTTTTATAAGCAATGAATAGTTTGTAAACATTACAGAATTTTTACTGGCACTAATTTCAAATTACCCATTTGTCAAAAAAAAAAATAAGGCTAATTGATGAAAGAAAGGAAATAAAAATAAGCACATTTTGACATAACTTAATCAGCAAAAAGAAACTATGTTTTAATTTTTTTTTAAATAAAAAGATTCTGTAAAATACAAAACTGTTCATTTTGTTACAAAAACCGTTGCTTTTCAATGACAACACAGACAATAAGTTAAAGATAATATAAGTTAAAGATAATATAAAGATATAAGTTAAGTTAAAGAAAGTTCAATTTGATTAATGCCTGCACTGTTACATATTAGTCCCTTAGTGGACTGATCATAAAGACACTGTTCCCAGTAGAACACCGAAATCAAACACCACTGAATGCGGTCATTAAGCGGGTGGGTGACCACTTTGATCAGCTTACGTCGGGACCGAGGGTGCGTTGTATCTGTCCTCGTTAAACTGTTCTACCGTAAAGTGCTCGACTTCTCTCGCAGGTCGTCGGGCAACTAAAGCAGGGGAGTCATCCCCTCAACAAAGGATCAAAATTGTGGTGGCATGTCTTCGGATCATCCTCAGGGATGCTTCCCAGACCGTCGCAATTGGTTAATTGTGCAGCTCTAGTAGAACGCAAATAAAATACCTACCTACAGAAACTATGTTTTTTTTAGTTATATAATTTCAGTAAAATACAAAACTGTTCATTTTGTTACAAAAACCGCTGCTTTTCAATGACGACATATTCAATAAGTTAAAGATTAATCTCATTTCTATTTGATTAATGCGTTAATTGTTAGAAATTTCTCGAAAAAAATGGTTAAATAACAATTGATTTAATTTTAATATTTTACTATATTCAACTGAAACAGTAAAATAACAATAAAAATTATTGCATCTAAACTGTTAACTGAAAGAAAAATCGCCTATTGACTATTAACCCTAATACTTTTAAGCAAACAACCGTGCCAACTAGGCCCACAGCAAATCATAATCGAGGGCAAGTTCTTCGAAAATTGGAAGCTAAGCCATGTCATAAGGATCGAAAACTCATATTTTGATCATATTTTCGATCATCGGATGCCTAACACATCAGAGGATATTTCTATAAGATATCGCTGATGTATTAGTGGAACACTTTAACACACGTAGCCTAAAGTGTTCCCCGTGTATGGGGAACACTTTAAGCTGTTCCTTAGTTCCTTGCAGCTGGTTACACGCTTTAGCCAAAAAGGCAAATCCTTCAATCTCAAGATTGGCTGAATGGGAGTTTGAATTCCAACGTTGACTCTACTATACGTTCCTCCATTCCTTCAACGCATGAGGAGTTTCAAGTGCTTGCACCGTGGATAATTGGACTTCGAAACTCTCATCCACACATAGATCATAGACGCACAGCTGTCACTGACACACATAGATTACGAACTCTCATTCGAACTGTCATTCACACATAGATACGAAACTCTCATTCACACATAGATGATAGACACACAGCTGTCACTGACACACATAGATTACGAACTATCATTCGAACTGTTATTCACACATAGTAACGAAACTCTCACTCACACATAGATGATAGACACACAGCTGTCATTCACACACATAGATTACGAACTCTCATTCAAACTATCATTCACACATAGATACGAAACTCTCACTCACACATAGATGACAAACACAAAAAGTGTAATTCTCATTTCTCAAGACAGGTGGCACAACCGGACAAACTAATCAAGTCAGATTCCACGGTTTACTTGACAAAATACAACTCAAAATCCTCTTAACTTCAATAAAGGAAAGTCTAATTAATTCTAACTCAGATATCCAATTAAATTTTGCTTTTATGGTATCGAAACCACGCTATTTGTAAATGTTCACAAATCCATACTGTTTTGTATTCTTGGTTTCTTAAACATACTAGTTCTAAACGTTTTCAGATTAGTAAAGAGAAACACTAACTTGTATGCATAACCTTACGTATAATTTTACATTTACTTTACTTACTGTATAAATAATTATTACATTACTTTACTTTTTTAATTTAAAATTAAATTGTTCTCTCTTATTAAATGGAACAAAAGTTTTGAAATATTCTCACAGATTTTTACTCTCTATTTCTTGTGAAACTGCAGTTTTGTAATCGTTTGCTATAGTAACGCGTTAGAATTATGTAGACGGAACAATGCTTTAATTAGCGAATTAAACTTTCTCGGATGTAGAGGTAGAGAAAATTTACTCTTCTCTTAAAAACCAAGCAGCGAAAATTGTTTGTTCCATGACTGTCTCAAATGTCCAACAATTCGGGTTTTTTTAATTCTTAAATTGTTTAATTAATTCCCCATAGTAACACTGCTTTCTTTTTCTTAATGCATGCTGTTTTTAATTTTAAATTTTTCAATTTTTTTTATTTAAAACATTTAGCAATTGTTATATTTTCTTTTAAACGAGAATACACAACAACTTCTAATAACATATAGTACAAAATACGATTTTAGATTATTCTTTATTAAATCCATTCAAATCACCCAGCCCAAAAAAAAAATATCTTAGTAAAAAAAATAATTTTCCAAATAATACTTTGCAGTTTGACTACGTCTTTTTTGAAATATATAGAAAAAGTGTAACAACTATTTAATAGATAATCAATATTTAGTATAAAATATTAAAAGAAAAATTCACTTTTCAAAATTTCAACACCAAATAATGAGAAGTTTCATAATCTTTTCATATTCGAATTACGGGTGCTTACCCTTTTTCTTGCTGCTCTCTTTAACGGCCGTAGCAAGGCAAAAGGCTGTTCTCTTTGAAACTGCCTTTTGCAACCCCCTTCGAAGTTTATATATTTCAGTGTAACTTTGTATGCATGCTGGAACTCTTAAATTCCAAAAATATGAATTACATACATCGTATGTAACCTTTTATTTATAAATATTTCAGTCAATTTATAAATATTGCGTTTTGAAATATTAATAAAAGTCGCAAAAACAATAATTATGAAAAATTATATTTTATCATGAATTACACGACCCTGACGACCGTCAAATCTAGATATATTTTCCTTAAGTTGATGTATCTAGATCTGAAGTTTTCAATTTTTAAATATAAAGTGAAATCCAAATTAAATTTTTTTAAATTTTTTTTAACGAAATATTATAATTCTTTAAGTTTAATCTGCGTTAAGAAGCGTTAAATTATATATTATATTTCAAAAATAGTAATAATTAATAATAATTTAAAATTAATTTATAATGCAAAATTATATTTTATCATGAATTACACGACCCAAACGACCTTCAGATCTAGATATATTTATTTTAAGTAAATGTATCTAGATCTGAAGTTTTTAATTTTTAAATTTAAAGTGAAATCTAATTTTTAAAGAGTGTAATTTTTTAAGCGAAATATTAAAATTCTTTAAGTTTAAACTGTGTTAAGAAGCGTTAACTTATATATTATATTTTAAAATTAGTAATAATTAATAATAATTTAAAATTAATTCATAATGTAAAAACTATATTTTATCATGAACTACACGACCTGACGATCTTCATATCATAAGTTAATGTATCTAGATCTGAAGTGTTTAGATTTAATTTTTAGTGAAATATAATTTTAAAAAAATTGGAAATTTTTTAACGAAATATTATAATTCTTTAAGTGTAAATTGCGTTAAAAGCGTTAAGTTAAAGTAAAATTTTAAAGCGCGTATGAATCCTGCAATACCTTTATTAGTGTTTTATATAATTTATATAAATAGTTTGTTGATATTGTGAAACAACGATCAAATGCTTTTATTTAAAAAAAAAAAATATTATTAATATAATTCAAAATCTTTTGTTTGAATAGCGGAGAAATTTAGAGAAAAGGGCAGTAGTAAGAGAACGTGTCTCTCTGGTGAGGAGAAAAAGCCTTTCACGCTTCAGATTCTATTCAAAGGTAAAATAAGAAAAACAATTATTAAAGATTACATAACACAACATGTCTTTTAGATATAAAAAAAATCTATGTCTTCTGCATATTTTTGACAGAATATATCGAGTATTAAATTTTTGATATGTTTACCACACACTATTTTCTCAAAAATCTACATCTTAGCTTGAAGACTTAACGTAATTTAACAACTTACAATAAAAACTAACAGCCGAAGGAAAGTCGCTCTCACTGACCGCGGGACAGTCGTTGATTTGGTAATTGTTTAGACTATCTTCCCCACAAAATCATTCCACACCCTCCCAAAGTTTTAAACTGTAAAATCGAAAAAAAAAGGAAACAATCAAATTGGTAATACTTTTAGAACTTTACATACGGTGCAAACTAGTAAAAAACACATTTATTGGTAATTATAAAGTACGCATAACTAATTGGTAATATATAGTACGCGTAACTAAGAAAATTAATCTTAAGTCATTATTTGAAACTGTTAAAAAATCAGTGTAGAATTTTATTTTCAATCGCTATTTCAAAACAATTTGTGGGCCATTTTTGTCAACGAAACTCGATGTTACATTTCTGATTAAAATGGAAAAAAAGTCGGCAGTCGCAGACTAACTATGCGTTTAGAATGAAAATGCAACAGATGACGCATAGACACTGAAATAGAAAGAAAAAATAATTCAGGAAAAATAATGAAATATTGTAGCTGAGTGGAATGGTGGTGGCCGAAAAAGGCAAACCTGGAAAAGATAATTTTTTTACGCGGAATGAAGTGTTGGTTTTAAAGCGCTAGGGAAAAAGCATTTATGGAAAAAAAGCAAGTTTCAAAAGCATCAACGTTAGTTTTGACAGGAGTGACCATAATTTATAGTTCTTAAAGTTATGGCACCCAAGGTCCTAACAATGTGCAGCAAGATATGGTTCATCGAATTCTTGATGATGGACACTTAATATTTTCAAACTCATGTTATCCGTGTACTTAATCTTTGCTCTGACTCGTTCTGTTTAAATCCTGATTTTAATTTCCCCTGCGCGCTTGCTGCTGTAAAGTTTAAAAATATTAAAGAATTTATAAAAGCAGACGATTGTAAAGTCTAAAAATATTAAAGAAATAATGGGTTTGCAAAATCATAATTAAAATAAAGTAAACGCATAAAGAGATAAACTTAAAATAAAAGCAGACGATTAAATTAGAAGTCAATATTTAGAACGACAGAGTTGTTGATTCTTTTTAGATTAGTTTTATTGTGGAATTTGAGTTTCCGTATATCCCGTTACGGGTTTTCTAGTTGTTTATGATCTTGTCACTATCCCGTTACGGGTACTGTATATTTCTTAATGTTTGTGTTTGTTAATAAAAGTTTTTATTTAAAAGAAAAACTGAATAGTTCTTGATATAGCTTAAGATACGTTACACTACTAACAATGGTTTTAACTCTGTACTTGATACAGCTTCTCGCTGTACACAATTAACCCAAATCGACCCCTTCTAATCTCTACAGTGAAATAATTTCTACACAATTTTAATTCTCGGTCTCCACTTTTTCAAAAAAGAAAATTCAAAAAATCAAATAAAATGAAATGTGAAATAAGGTTTCGAATCTCGAATATTTCTTAATTCGAATTTTGTCTTCGATTTGGAAAGTTGAGTTATTGAATGGCTCTCAAGAATAACTAAACATTTAATTGTTGCCGTGTTCCGGTCGTATTGCACCTTGTACTCTGCGTTATATTTGAGAATCAGCAAATTTGAGCTCTGATGGCTAAGCGGATAGAGCATTCGGGTTCGAATCCCAGGGATGCATGGCTTGTTAATACGAATTCGGCATCCAGCTTGAACCGACCACAGTGCTGACGTAAAATATTCTCAGTCGTGGACGGATTATGGGTTAAAGTCCCCTTTTAGTTAGGATATCTGTGGGAGGTTTTCGTGGTTTTCCTTTCCGTGTAACGGGTTAGTTTCATCTAAGAGTCCTCCACGATGGAAAATTTCACCCAATACTTAACCCAGGAGTTCCCTTATCTTCTGGATTGGAATCAAAATTGCAAGGCTACGGAGTTGAACATCAGTAGTCGTAAATCCAAAAATTGAGTCGGTTGTTCAACGGTGGTTATAAAATAATATAAAATAAAAAGCAAGCTTCAAATAGAGCAAAAAAAAAACATAATTTGGAAGGATTTACTACCAAATATACAGCAGTATTCCAGGTTCTTTGCAACATAAGATCTACCGGTATTACAAACTTGTAGGAAAAAAAGGCTTACGACAGCCTAGACCAGGGGTGGCGAACCTTTATACACCAACGTGCCATTTTTTCTAAAAAATTGTTTAATGAAATCACAGACGTGCCGTCAAATAATTTTGACTTCATGATTATTGGGAAAATAATAATACTAAATAATATCAACTCAAAACTCTTTATTTACATTGAAAATAAAATACATTTTGCAATGTCTCAGTCATTCGCGTAATTCAACTTAAAGTAACATCAGTGTGACTTCTGTTGTTGCAAACTAAATGACAAATAACTTATATTAGACTGTAAGATATTAGTTTAAACAGGACTGTTGATTTTTTGCTAGTTATTTATTGTTAGCTTGTTTGTCATGGTTATTAATTGTTTTTTTAGCATTAATTGTTAATTTTTTATTAATAGTTGTTTATTATTTTGTTTGTTTTTTGTGAATTTTAATTTAATTGTTACATAAGCTTCATAGTGTAATAACATTTGTGTAATAACAATTCATAGTGCAATAACAATTGTGATCGGTGGTGTGCCCAAAATATTGTGTCACGAGCCATAAATGGCACGCGTGCCATTGGTTCGCCATCCCTGGCCTAGACGTATTCCCATGTAGGCAGGTAATATCTGGAGCAAAGAATGAGTCGCTGGGGGCAAGATCGGAACTACAGCAAGAATGATCAAACACCTTCCAGCGACTCTTCGCAGCAAAAATTTTTGTGTGGAATTTCCTGCATAGAGGCGATCGTTGCTCTGCAGCAACAAAATACCTGTACAAATCTTACTAGACCTTTTATTTTTGCATCTACAATTGCATATATAACAAGACATGCCTACACCTATGACACAACAGGTGGCAGAGTTACATAATACTAGAGTATAAAACTTATCCCACTGTATAATAAGTATTAACGTTCAGAAACATGAGAAGTGTTGTTTCGAATTAGCTGGAATATTGCTATATCTTTTACAATAATTATTCTTCTCTTAGTTTTGTTAGTTGACTAGCATTCCGACTCATTCCCGTATTATTTATATGATGTGATTTGTTTTTTAAATTGCTTACTTTTAATGACTTTCCTAAATTTCTCAGCTCCAGTTCGTGGTATTCACTGTACTCTCTATAAAGAGGGGATGCCAGTGAGGGGCAAAGGTGTTGAGATAGTGGTCACCAAAGAGAAGGCTGTCATAACTTTGAAAAGACCGGAAGTGGAAGACAGCGGTGACTATCAAGTTAAGCTTTCGAGTCCCACTGTGAGGGACAGATTGAAGTATCACTTCAATTTTTACAGTGAGTTTAACAACTTTATATATTTTCTGCTTGTTGTGCACAGATAGTATTTAATAGCAATTGCAGGGATTCAATGGGCGACAAATAAATATCAAACTAATAACGTGACTAGTAAGTAGCAAAAGTCTATTAAAAGATATTAAAATTAGCCAGCATATTTCCTGCAGTTCACTATTGAAAATGAATGCAAAAAAATAGTTTTGTTTTAAATACGAATAATTTACAATGTTATTCATAGTGATTGTTTTGACTGAATTATTAATTAGATTAAATAAAGATAAATGAATTAATAATCTTTAGTATTTCAAAATGAAGTATAGTCAAAATGAAGAATAAAACAAAGGAAAATTAAAGACATATGAAAAAAAAGGGGGGGGGAATAATAAGTAAAAAAATAACAAACAACAGTTAAAAAAAAGGATGAAATTTTATTTAAAAAACCGGTAAAAAATGTGGAAGAATTTACCCCGACCCGTCCTTATTTAGGGCATACGGGTAGAAAAAAAATATATAATCTTTTCATCAGCCCACACGATTATATCCGCAAAACAGAGTGCTTTCTGATATTGTATCAATAAAGCCAAAGCAAAATATATTAATACAATAGTGTGAGGAGAACTCAAAAAAATTTTTTTATTCAAATTACAACAAATAAAATAGAACACAAAAAGTAAAAATAACATGTAAAAACAGAAAATAAAATAAAAGAAAAAGAAAAAACAGTATAAGAATGGACTATAAAGCGAGTAGCGAAATCAGATCAACTTACAAGGACGAGAAATTTTTCAAGAATGATTTAAAAATGTTTTCGCAGAAAGATTGTGTGTATATATATATGTGTGTGTGTATGCTGATTTTTATAATTATTTATTTTTTATTTTTGTTTTCTTTAATTTTTTTCCTTTTTTATTCCTTTCCTTGTTTTCTTTGTATTTTTATCTGACTTATAATTATTAGCGTAGCCATTTTACATAACAAATGACGATAGAGTTTGTGATATAAACCTGTTTAAACAGAGGAAAAAAAGGACAAAAAATTGCTTTTCTCTTTTAAATATAATCAATGAATTGGTTGATATTTTTAGAGTTTAATTCATTACAATTTAATTCTATTTTATTTAGTGTAGCTCTAAATAAGAAGCATGTATTTTTCAACTAACTGCAGAATCATATATAAAACTTTCTTCATGACAAAACTAAATTGCTATGTTTTAAAAAGTTTTTGAAAGTTATCGCACCCGAGAATTGAAACTAAATTTATTTTTAAGCAAGAACAAATGTAGTCAATATTTTATTTTTTATATATTTTAATTGTAGAAAAGGATGAGGAAACTGAGATAGGATCTAGTCCATCTCCTATAGATGAGTAAGCTTTGATCTCGTGTAGAAAAGGATGAGGAAACTGAGATAGGATCTAGTCCATCTCCTATAGATGAGTAAGTAGTTGTTTTTTAAATAAAGAAATTTAACTTTGAGATATAAGGTTTTTTTTCCAAAAGTGGCGGCACTAAAACATGTTAAAAATATGGTAAACAAGAGTAAAAAAGTAAAGAAGAAAGAAGCGGTTATATGGTAATCTAAAGCTCACCCTATCGTGATCTTTCGCGCCAACTATGATCGCCAAGGTGCCAAATAGGTTTTAAACTTGCAACGTTTTTTTTTTTTTTTTTTTTTTTTTTTTTTTTTTTTTTTTTTTTTTTNTTTTTTTTTCACGTAATTTAAGTCGATATTTCCCCGGAGGTGGCTACGAGTTATATCTTTCGAGATGGGCCCTTCATGTGACGTTTTTTTCCTTCCAAGTTTCTCGTGGCCGTTGTACCGGAAGTTGCCTAAATTTGGCGATAATTCTGCCACAGATCACAATACGAAAATCTCCCCTGGGTTCGAACCTATCTCTTCGAATGATGCTCATGTTGGAAATGTAACCACTTTGATACCACATTGCTGATATTTTAATTTACAACTAATCAATGGAAATGACTGAAAATATTTGTGCGTCATCTTTATCAAAATAAAAGAAACCGTTTTCGTGTTGGAATTCAATTTGGTTACATGGTTCAATTTGGCTACATGGTTGGAATTCAATTTGGTTACATTAAAACAATCAAGAGATTAGATAATAGTGTAACATAAAATGATGCGTTTTTTTCCCCATGCCCACCCATATATTGATATAGTCATTCGAGTATCAGAAGGACGACAGAAGTGATGGACACTCTTACAGGAATCACCATATTAGATGTGCGAACGTAAACCCTCCCCCTTCTATTAAAAGAACATATGGTACAGAGGGGAGAGGGAAGGAACGTTCATGCCTCTAACCTGAATTCGGGGGATCCTGCCAACTATGATCGCCAAGGTGCCAAATGGATTTTAAACTTGCAATTTAAAAAAAAAACAAAAAAAAAACAAGCAGATACAAGCGGTGGCTACGACTTATACCTTTCGAGTTGGTTCAGTCGTTGAACGGCCGACCTAATTTTAATTTTACGACTACCAATGTTCAACTCCATAGTCTTGTAACTTTGAACCCAATGCAGAAGACAAGGGTACTCCTGGACCAAGTATTAGGAGAAATTTGCCTTCGTGGAGGACTTTTTTGATGGAACTGACACGCATTTGCGTTACGCGATGAGGAAAACCACGAAAACCTCTCGCGGTTAGCTCGGTGGCTAGAGGATTCTAACCCATGATCCGTCTACGACTGAGGATATTTCACTTCATCACTGTGGTTGGTGCGAGCTGGATGCGGAATCGACCAGCCATCGCAGTGACTCGAAGCGTCATCGAGAAGTCAGCGCTCTATTCCCTAAATCCTCACGACTCAAAAATAGTTAATTGATTCGACTTGCGATATCGCGTGATCGGTGACGAACGTGTTAAACCTGTTTTTTACGAAATTATGTTAACTACCGTTCAATTGAAAAGAAGCAAAAAAACAATACAAGTGTCGCACTTTCCAAAAACTTTTACGTTGCTTCTTCGATTTAACTCAACTTAGCATTACACGTAGTAGTTTGTTTATTTCTGGCTTCGTTTATTTTTTAATAATATTCATACACAGATTATATCTTCAGTTTACTTTTTATTCAATGACCAACGATAACATTCTTTAAAATCCTCTTTTTTTTCTTGCTTTTTAAAAATAATAATATGCACAGTTAAAATTAGTTTTGTTTGGAGGGTTAAAAGTATAACACGATTTGTAAATATTAATTTCGGAAAATGGTTTCATACATTTTTTATTTTTATTTTATTACCATCGTTGAACAGTCGTCACAATTTTGAGTTTTTGATTGCCAATTCCGTTGCCTTGAAATTTCGAACTAATCCTATTTCGAACAAAACCAAGACAAGGGAGTTCCTGGATCCAGAATTGGGATCAATCTGTCTTCGTAGAGGACTTTTTGATGACCCCCCCCACATTTGCGTTAAATGAAGAGAAAAACCACGAAAACCTCCCCATAGTTAACCTTACGACATGGGGACCCTAACACATGATCATTGAGGATATTTTACATCATCCCTGTTATCGGTGCAAGCCGGATGTTGAATTCGTATCGATCAGCCGTCGCTGGGATACGAACACATGTCCCCTCATTTGGAGGGAAGTCCTCTGTCCCCTAAGCCACCATGACTCAGTTTTTATACTTATCAATATTTATACCCATATTACAGTCAAAAAAATTTAAAAAAAATTAAGTTCACTTTTAATTGAATGACTAAAAAGGACATTTGCCTTAAACCTATTATATATTTTTTTAAGAAAAAAGATCATTTAATTATAAAAAGTTTCTTATTCAATCATTTATTTATTCGTCGACCAAAATTCGGAAAGCAATTTTTTAATTTTAATGCGAAAAATAGTTTTCAATTAAAATATTTTTACAAATTAAAAACAAAAAAAGATATTTTTTTTTTAAATTTTTGATTAGGAATCTGCTTTATTGTGATAAAAACAAATAGGAAGTAAATCAGTTTTAAAAGTCGTAACTTTATGAGAAGATTAAAATAAAATTTTCATTAGCTAAGTTGTCAAATTTCGTAGCATCTTGCTTTATTTTACGAAAAATTTGCCAATTAAACGTCTATGTTTGTTTCGTGTATTATTCTTAATTAAAATTCTAAAATCTTAAATTCGCAAGGTCACATATGACAAATTTCTTGATTGAAAACCTTATAGGTTTAGATACGTATAATTTATTAAGTGGATGAAATAGTTATATTATATAGTTATATAATAATATTTCAAGTCACCCATTTCATATGATTTAGAGCTGAAAATTCAAAACTGCTCATAAAATCATTTCATTATTGCTTTTTCCACAGAAAATAAAATTACACGTAATTTATTTGTTTATTTATTTTAATCATTTTCTTTAAAGTTCTGGCTTACAGATGTACTGATTTTTTTTTATCCTAAAAAATGCAAAAAGTGATGAATAATTTATAAATAATTTGTTTTGATCTTCATGAAAACGAGCTTTAAAAGAAATAATTCTATTAGCAGTTTTTCCAGCTCCCCGCCTTACTTTCAGCTTTGATTAGATTGAATAGTATAACTTCTAGTTTATATAACAAGATATTAATTCTTTTTACAGAGCATGTCGTATAAGTGCGACTTTAAAGAAATGCTTGGACGAAAAGAGATCTTTGAAGGATAATAAAAAGAAAAGAGGCTTTCGCTCTTTTGTGAGACATCTTTTTACAGGGTGTTACAAGCGAAACTGATTTAGGTGACTGATAGAAGTTATCTCGGCATTTCACTGAAATGCATGAAATTTTGATGGGTTAAAACAGATGCTTGGTGAAAATTAAAAAGTAAAAAAAAAAAAAAAAAAAAAAAAAAAAAAAAAAAGATTCACTCATTTGAAAGAAAACGTATTTTCAGACTGCATCAAATGAAAGTGAATTATGTGACTGATATAATTTTATTTCGCCATTTCCTTGAAATGCATGGTATTTAATGGATTGAATTAGACACTTGGTGGAAATTAAAAAAAAAAAAAAGATTCACTGATTTGAAAGAAAACGTATTTTCAGACTGTATCAAATGAAAGTGAATCATGTGACTGATAAAACTTATTTCGACATTTCCCAGAAATGCATGGAATTTGATGGTCTGAATTCGACACTTGGCGGAAATTTAAAAAAAAAAACTCACTCACTTGAAAGAAAACGTATTTTCAGACTGTATCAAATGAAAGTGAATAATGTGACTGATAAAACTCATTTCGGCATTTCCCTGAAATGCACGAACTTTGATGGATTGAATTAGACACTTGGTGGAAATTAAAAAAAAAAAAAAAAGATTCACTGATTTGAAAGAAAACGTATTTTCAGACTGTAGCAAATGAAAGTGCATTATGTGACTGATAAAACCTATTTCGGCATTTCCCTGAAATGCATAAATTTTGCAGGATTATTATGTTGTATTATTTGTGTTATTGTGATGCAAAATTGTTCAAAACATATTTGACTTAAAAAATCAAAATAAAATTTTAAAAAAAATCAATCCAATTGTCATCAATTAACAATACATTTTATCATACGAAACAATTCATTTACTATAGCAGCAAGCATTTTTTTCCTGGTGAAAGTGTTTTAATAATTAACAGTAAATATTTTTGCAATTTCAATATCAACAAGTTTCCCTCGATCTTGAAAGGTTTTTAAATTGGTAATAAAAGTGAGATGAATCTATATGATTCATGTACTATTACATAGCTAATAACTTTCTACGCTTTTTCTAGAAATTATTCTAGTGGTGGCTAAATTTATGTTTTAATGCATTATGTTTTATTCATTTAAACTAACTACACCATTACATACAAATGATTTAAAAGAAATTCATATGCAACGCCACTTTGTTCGAGCTCTCACGTGATGAAACTTTAAAATTGTTGATAAAATTACCAAAATTCTGAAAACTTTGGTTTTTAAATGTCAACCACTGCATAAAATATTTTGCGAAAAGTGTAGTAGTTGGCAGGCATGTTATTAAATTTTCATTTTAATGGACGTATATATGCGTGCAAAGAATGCTCATGCAATGTTGTCAATGGTGACTGAAAATGCAAAAATTACTGACCAACAAAATTCAAGATTTTATTAAAACAAATTAAAATTAAAAAATTTTTTACATCAGATTTTATTTAGTTTACTATTTTAAAAAATTTTTTAAGCATGGATAATTTGAAATGTTACTTTAGATTCAGGTTGGATAATTGGAAATGTTGTAGTAGTTACGGTTGAATAATTAAAGATAAAATAATTCAATAAAAATGAATTGAGTTTTTATCACTTCTTAAATTTTTACTTGCCAATCAAATAGTTTTGCAATCCACATCCAGTTAAATTTCTCACAAACTCCATTTTGGGCCCCAAACTTT